TAGCTATTAATGACGTGAATGCTTCTAAATCAGTTGTTCAGCTCTTCCGTCAAAGATCATCTGCTAAGTCCCACCAAGTCATTCCGCCTTTGCTTACTACTAACGATGCCTTCATTACAAACGAATCAGGCAAAGCATAAATGTTAAATTCTTTCTTTGCCAAACATTTCACCATCGAAAATTACCCAATCCCTTTAGTTCCTCCGTTGTCTGATGCTTCTCGTAGCACCATTGCTTTTTCTCCTGAATGTATTCAAAAACTGATAAGCCATCTTCCTAACTCTCACTCAGTATGTACGGACAATATCCCAAACTCTTTTATAAAACTGCTAAGAGATTTTCCTCCTCTGCTTAGTAAAATCTTTTCAGTATTTCTCGTAAATGGCTTCTTCCCTGACTATTGGAAAACTTCTATTATTATTCCTGTATTTAAGTCTGGCTGTCTTTCTGACGTACAGAACTATCGAGTTGTCCATAAAACACTCTCCTTCGCCAAAATATTTGAAAAAATTGTCGCCGTAAAAATTACCGAATTTTGCATAGCCAATCAGGTTATTAGCCCTTCCCAGCATGGTTTTTTACCAGATCGCTCTTGCGAAACATGTCATCTGTCGTTCCTAAATCTACTTACCTCTCTTCGTAATGACCATCTATCTGTCGTCGTTATTTATTTTGATCTTAGTAAAGCCTTTGATAAAGTACCACATAAAAGCCTCTTGGTTAAATTGGAAGCTATGGGAATTCGCAGTCCACTAATAGACTTTCTCAGGTCATACCTGTCTAATCGTAAACAAAAGCTTTTGGTGGGATCTTCACTTTCCAGTGAAAGCCCTATTATAAGTGGTGTCCTGCAAGATACCGTTTTAGGTCCTCTTTTGTTCTTGTTTTACATAAATGATATTTCGGCAGCAGTTAAACATTCTCAATCATTTATTTATGTCGATTATCTCAAATGTGTATATTCTTTCAAAAAATCTACGAGCCTTCATTGCCTGGAGCAAATCCATACTGACTTGCTTGCTCTCTCAGCTTGCAGCTCAAAAGGGCTAATGGAATTCTCTCCATCTAAATGTCGCTATATGTGTTTTGGACCTGATAGGCCACCCAAACCAGTGGTCTTTCAAGGCACACCTATGACTGAATTTACCACCATCAAGGATTTAGGTTTAAGCTAACTAGTAAGCTTGATCTCTCGCCACACGCTGGCAGAATTACAGCCAAAGCTGCCCAGATTTGGGACTTTA